CATTCCACTTGTCTGTGCAAAGGCTATGATATTTCCACTCCCAGCTCCAAAGAGGCCTGTGTGAAAAGTTCACATGGTGCTACTTACTTCTAGTGCTAGCTGTAAAGAATACTTGGTAACAAATAGAAAAGTGTCTAATGACAGGATGACATTAACAAAACTGCTTCCTTTTCACACAAATGTAAAATTTGAAGAGCAGAGTATGAATGAAACGCCAATGAACCCAACAGAAGCAAGAGTGGAGCCTGGACTCAGCCCTACTATGTTTCATTTCAAGCAAGAAGGGATTTGAAGGAGCTATGCAAGCTGCCAAGGCAATCAGTGGTCCTACCCAGCTGCAAAAACCTATGTGCCATAACAATGGTTAGCATGACAAAATGTCCCAAAGGTACAGTAGTGACACACATCTTGGGATATGTGTCTAATTGGACTTAAGGCCCACTCTAAAGGAGACACATACCTTGTTCTATAAACCCAGATGGTTGGTGAAGTTATGTATCCTAAGAAACCTACTGTTACCACTTTCTTAAACCAGTATACCTTCTAACTGCATTCTAAATATATATATACCTGCAGATATATGTAGCTCTTACCATCATCAAAGAATCCTTTTTGCAGCAGATACAGACCATTACATAAAGCCACTACTGGTCGAAATACAGAGAAAAACCAATCATGAGATATCCAACCTTAGTTGATAATCTACAATAGACCTATACCTAGCATTCAAGGAACATTTCTGAAGAAGGGGTGAAAAGATTGTAAGAGACAGAGATCAACAATATCTGCTGTGAGATAGTGTCTTCCCTACATGACAAGGAAGTTGCATCTGTGAAATCTCAACAATAAAGTCACCTAAACAAGACCTGCACAATGACATCAGCTGACATGCCAACATGAGTGGGGAAATTGTCACCAGGCCCAACTCCTAGATTAAGAGCAACAGGCAATCATAAGTGTTGAGAGAGGGAGAATTAATCCTCCCCAAGGATGAACCCCCAATTGATTATCCAATCCCAAGTAGCCAGTCATAAACACATATACATATGCATACGAGCACTAATGATTCAACACGGGGATATATATCATATTCTTTAATTACGTGTACATATCAAAGAAGAAAAGTTCAATCTGACAGGGAGATGGGTACCATAGGAGAAGTTAGAGGAAAGGAAAGAGTACAGTATAAATGATGTAAATATAGGACTTACAATTGTAAACGTGAGGATCATGGTACTCAAAGGAATTGATTTCAGATCTATCCTTCCAAAACTGGATTCTTACTTCACTGATTGCCTATAAAACTGTGCATAAGTTCTTCTACCCAAAGACAGCTTTTGTCTGTCTCTGATCTGAGTCTATACTGGTCTTATGATTTCCTTTATCTAGCAGAGGCATTAAAAATAGGTTATGTAAATGCCAAGGCTGGGCACCAAGAGGTTTGGGCCAATGACCTAATTACATGTTTCTCAAAAGAAGATACCCAAATGACCAACAGTATTTGAAAAACAAACCAGCTTAATGTTACTAATTAGTAAGTAAACGATTATTAAAACTACAAGGAAATCTCACTTAACCATAATTAGAAAAACTATGATCAAAATAACATTTAAATGTTGGCAAGGACTTTACACATGTTGACAGTATTATAGAATAGTACAATAATTATGGAAAGCTGTATAGACATTACAAGAAAACTAGAAATAAAATGATAGAATGATCTAGAAACCCACTATGAGTTTATATACAAAGGAAAAATCATCGGTATATAGCTGATAGTGTTATGATTCGTTGTTTTCAATTAATCTAGATATTCTAGATATCCATCAAGAGATGACTGAATAAATATTATATATATATATATATATATATCACAGTATATATTATGGATATATGTTTGTATTTATGAGTACAATATATGTATATATGTTTATACACACACACACACACACACACACACATATATATATATATATATATATATTTTCAACCATAGACACAGATGAGCTTGGAGGATACTATACTGGGTAAAATTAGTCTCATAAAGACAAATACTACATTTTGTTTCTTATTTATGGAAGTGAAAATGATGATTTTGTGAAAATAGAGAACAGAATTATATTAGTTACTAATGATATGATGAAACACCATGAACAAAAGCAACTTAGAGAAGAAATGATTTATTTGGCTTACTCTCCCACATTACAGTTTATCACCAAAGGAAGTCAGGACAGGAACTCAAGCATGGCAGGAATCTGGAGGCAGGAGCTGATACAGAGACCATGGAGGGGTGTTCCTTACTGATTTGCTCCTTATGGCTTGCAAAGTTTGCTTTCTTATAGAACCCAGGACCATCTTCCCAGAGGTGTCTCTCTCCATCAATTGCTAATTAAGAAGATGCCCTACAGGCTTGCCTACAGCACTCTCTTATGGAAGAATCTCCTTTTTAAAAAAATAAATTTATTTGTTTATTTACATTCAAGCTGTAATTACTTCTCCATCCTCTCCTCCCAGTCCCTCCCCCAACACCCCCGTCTGTTTCGACCCTTCAATCCACTACTCTTCCGTTTCTGTTTAGGAAAGGGCAGGTCTCCCATGAGTATCGATAAAATATGGCATATCAAGTTGCAGTAAGACTAAGCACCTCCCCATGTATTAAGGCTGGGCAAAGTGACCCAGTACAAGGAGTAGGGTCTAAAAAAACCAGTAAAGGAGTCTGAAACAGATCCTGCTTTCACTGTTAGGAGTCCCATAAGATGACCAACCTACAAAACTGTAACATATATGCAGAATGTCTCCGTGAGCCCCTATGAGCCCAGGTTAGTTGATTCTGTGGGTTTTCTTGTAGTATCCTTGGCCCCCTCTGGCTCCTATAATCCTTGCTCCCTGTCTTTTGCAGGATTCTCGGAGTTCCGCCTAATGTTTGGCTGTGTAACTGCTTCTGTTTCCATCAGTTGATGGTTGAAGCCTCTCTTAGGACAATTGGGTTAGACATAGCAGCTTTATTTGTAATAGCCAGAACCTGGAAACAATCTAGATGTCCCTCAACTAAGGAATGGATAAAGATAATGTGGTACATCTACACAATAGAGTGTTAATGAGCTTTTACAAACAAGGGCACCAGGAAACTTGAAGGCAAATGGATGGAACTAGAAAAAAAATATCACCCTAAGTATGGTAACCCAGACCAATAAAGACAAGCATGGTATGTACTCACACATAAGTGGATATTAGCTGTAAAATAAAGGATAACTATGCTATAATCCACAGACCCAGAGAGACTAGGTACCAAGGAGGGTTCTTGGAGGGGGGGGGGGAACACCCAGATCTCCTGGGAAAGGGGAAATTAGAAGAGATTTCGTGAGTGGACTGAGGGTGGGAGTGGATGGGAACATGAGAGATCAGGTTGGGGGAGGGAACAGAGGAGCAAAGTACTGAAAGAGACTACTGTAAAGGTAGTAGGTAGGCATTCCGGGGTCAGGTAAAAACCTGGTGTGAGGGAATCTTCCAGGAATCTACAAGGATGACCCCAGCTAAGACTCCTAGAAATAGCAATATGTAGACTGAACTGGCCACCTCCTGTGACCTGATTGGAGGCATTTTCTTAGTTGAGTTCCCTCTTCTCACAACTTTAGCTTGTGGCAAGTTGATGTAAATGTAGCCAGCACAAGCCCAGTGGTTACCAGAACCTAGGAAAGGCCATAGAAGAAAAGAACCAATGGATACTAGTATTCATCTGGACAGAAGAAATTACTTCTAATATTGAGATCATATTTATAATTTGGAAAAATTACCAGACAGCAATTAATTGCACATTTCAAAGTTACTTGGAGAGAAGGTTTGGAATGATCCCATTATTGAGAAGTAGCAAATACTTGCTGCAAAGGAGGTACCAATTGTTCTAATCTGATGATACATGTTTAAATATATAAACATTACCCCGTACACCAGAGATACTTATACTTTTGTATAAAACGGGGGGAAAGGGAGTTTGTGCAACTCCAATCCTCACTTCTTGATGCCTGCCATATGATAGGGAGCCACAGCCAGAAGAACCAACAACCTCCTATCCAATGGCCACAGACCTGAGCATATATGTCTTTCTGAGACTAGGCAGGCCTAGGAACATGTAAAAGACTACCCCTAAAAGCTGAGTCCAGCCCAAATTGATCAACCCCAGAATCATGGTATAATTTCAGTGTTGTTGTACAAAGCCACCAGCGTGGGTTTGTTGTTGCTGCTGCTGCTGTCCTTGAACAGTAAAAGCAAAGTGGTAGGTGTTCTGGACATCCTTCAGTTCTGCGGACCTGATCACAAAACTCCAGCTTCTATGAGACTTCGTTTTCTTTCCAGTAATGTGGGGGAAAGTGCTTCAACCATTGTGAATGGGTATCTCTGGTCTGGGATCCATCACTTTATGTAGGTAAGGGTTTTACTTTTTAATTATTCAGTAACTCTGGGGTGTAAGTCTGTCATAAGGAATCATGGACATTCTGCATTTGAAATGCCAAATTCAGTTATCAAAATAATGGCAGCAATTGCATTTTAATTATGATTGAAAACACAGTGTCCGGTTTTGAAAGATCTGTCATGAGTTTTATACTGTGTGGTTTGGGGAGATGACTTCAGCAAATACTACGAATAAGATTCATTTTTACCAGAACAACACAATCAAACCTCACTTCCCATAACTCAAAATGCTATGAAAAGACCAACAAACGAGAAGAGTTGCAGAAGCTCATGAGGGGGGGGAGAAGAACTAAATAAGCTTCTTAGTCGATGCATAATTAACTCTCAGATGAACTAATAGTTTGAATTTTCCATTGGTTAGGAAAATAATGCAAGTTCTCCATTTATCCCAAATGTCTTATCACCTGACCACACACGCACACATACATATGGACACACACACACACACACACACACACACACACACACACACACACGAGAGAGAAAAAGAGGGGGGGAGGGGAGGGAGGGAGAGTTTGAAGTGTACTCACCCTCTTTGAAAGAGATCGACATTATAGAATTTGTGTAGCTCTACAGAAAACTCAACTGTTCCTTGTACTTCAGACATGATCTTTTCGGTTCATTACCTAAAAAACAAAGAAATAAATTAATTGCTTATGATGACTTCATTCAAACATAGACAGCCTGGTATCAATAGTCAGACACTTAGCAATTCTTGGATGGACAAGAAAATGTGGCTTACTGGACCAGTAGAGCACCTGTGTCTAGTTCACTAGTTCATGGTGTGTTCAAAGGTTTTTTTTTTTTTTTCTTACAGGGAAAAAAAACAAAACAAAAAACAAAAACAAACCAGAAACACACAGCGCCTTACTGAATGCAATGTGGTTAGCACCTGTTATGCCTGGAACTGAGTCCTGGTCCATGTCCTTTCATCTGTCCATGACATGGAGGCCACATACCCCTAGTTACTACCAGGTATTCACCTACTATCTCACAGGAAACCTTAGGCAACTCATTTAACTACCCTGTGCCTCTGTGTTCTTTCATCTGTGGGTGTGGACTGGTAACTGCGTTGGGAATGGATGACTGATGAGCAGATGAAGTGAGCATGCCCCACTGGTCATTTTGCGTGCACCCTGGCATGTAGCAAATTCCCAATAAATGCTAGCCAGCACTGATAATGTGTAATAATCACCGAATGTCACTCCATCATCAATATGGAAGATACTGAAGAGGCAGGTGACTGAAGTGGTGGCAGAACACATGGGTGCTGTGACAGCTGGATGCTAACCCAGTTTGACAGATTGATGCAAAAGCTGATTTAAAAAAAAATGGGCAAAACACCTGGAAAGAAATAGAATAACAATTGTCCACGTCTGATATTGCAAACAAATCAAGGAGAGGACTCCAGGCAGACTGAATTTTTGAGTATATAAAATCAAATAGATGTGAGCTATTTGAAAGAAGGAAAAAATAAATCAATAGAACACCTGTTACATTCTTAGTGTTACATACAGTATTTTCTATAGCCTGTTTTTTTTTTGACAACAATGATTTGTGATAAAGATCCTTATCTTTTAAGATAAAGAAAAAATGATGAAGGAAATTCTTTCTTGTAACCCAGGACAAAATATTGCATCCTTTGGCAACTCTCTTCATTTTTTAAAAGTTCAGTTTACAACGATGGGTCATGGAGATGATGCCACCTACCCAGTAGAATTCTGGAGATTATAGAAGGTAATTACTGTGATGTACCTGTGACCCAGCTGTTATTGGTATCTGATATGACCTGTCAGCAAGAGAGAAAGGTTGAGAGAAGAAGACATAAAAGTAGAGGACACATAGGCTTTCACGGCTGGTATTGGAGATGGACATGTGGGTCTTCTGTGAAGGCCTCTCTCTTTTTCTCTCTTTCTCTTTCTTTCTCTCTGTGGTTCAGTGCCCAACTATCCAGGGTCATGCGAGGCCAGCTCCCCAAAACAGCAGTACCCCATGCATAATTAAGTAAGCTTTCACTGTGTGTCTCTGTACTGGCAAGGGCTCCCTCCCAGGAACCATTTCTGAAAATGCAGAAGACTGCATATCACACGAGAAGGCCACATATCCTTGTAACCAATCTATATTAACTCTGAAAGTCTGAATTTTCATACAAAAACCTGGAACTTCTACCCTACACATTGTGCTGGGCACTCCAGAGTGAGTTATGGAACCAGCTGGAGTCAGAACCTGCCCTCTTAACACCAATCTTAAGATGTGTCCAGGAAAGGCCAAAAAGCTCTCTCTGTGATTCACATATCACATTGAAAAGAGCACTGCATGCTTCCTATTTCTTTATCACCGTGCAGTCTCGATGATCACAAACCTGCAGGGCTGGCTCAGCCATCTGACCCATTGATTGTGGATGCCAGCCTTTAATTACCCGGTGTCTTTGGATCTATGATCCCTGGAGCCAGATATGTAGCAGGAGTGGGGAGTGGGTGGAGAAGGAAAGGGAGAAGGAGGAGAGGGGGAGATAACGCCAGTATAGATTGGTGCATGTTAAATGAGGCCTAGGGTTTTACACATTCAGATTCACACAGGACACTGCTACCATTCTGGAAACAGTGATGACCCAGGATCCCAAACACCTTGCTTTTCTAGTTCCAGGACTAATATGCAGGTTTTCTGAGACAATGAAGCTGTATGAAATAAATGTGTATAAAAATTTAATACTTGGAGAATTCTATACTAAGATTTTTTTTTTCCCTGTGGAAAGTGCAGGTTCTAATCCTATGATCAAGAACATATTAATAAAGTCAGAGTTCTGGAATTTGTAAATACAAACACAGGAGCCTTTTTCTTAATACCATGTGATAAATTATAACTGACAAATGCCACTAAATGAAGATGCTAAGCTCAAATTTTAAAACATCCACCTTAAATTTCCACTTTGGTCTTTCAGGGTCTAAATTTCTAACTGTAAAATATGAAATTTGTGCTCAATAATCCAAAACCATCTACCTTAGTTCCAAACTTCTCCTCAGGTCTTTCTATCTGAAATTTAATGAGGATCTTAAACTGGTAGCTTTTCAGCATGATCCTCAGCTTCAGTGATGAAAGCAACAACTTTGAGTCCTAATCTAGATCTACTGGGTGAGGACTCACTCAAAGGTTCATCCACCCTCCAGGAATTCTGACATACACACTCATTTGAAAACCACTACCTCAGACACTAGGGTTGGAGTTGACTAGACCTGAGTTAATCTAGTCCATTATGAGTCACATAATATTGAATGATGGCTGAACTTCCTGTTCCTTAGTTTCCACGTGACTTATCCAGACTATTGAGATCCTTTGCCATGTAAGGCATCCTTTGTGGCTGGTAGGGATAAAGTACGTTAAAGATTTAATACACTATTGGGTATTAAATATACATATAGCATACACACAGCAGTAACAGGCCACATGGCCAACACAACCCACTTTACTTATATCCGACACTCACCAATCACACAAACACACAATGTATGCAAACATAAACTTGCCTACACATGACACAATACCCACGATATTGATAAGATGCCCACAGCAACCAGTACACACACTAATAACCACATCCAAAACACATCCACTCACACTCAACATCCACATAAAAGACACCCGTAATAAAACACCACAATGACCACGCATGCCTAGACAACATACACACACTCACCTTGTACACAACACACAAACTCTGTGATACTTGCTATAACCAAAGCCTCCCATAATTCATGGCTGCAAACATCCTTTTGTATTTGATTCTTACATGCTCATTTCTAAAACCACATTTCCTGGAAGCTATATCCTCAAGCACTATGATTAAAATGCTTACAGGAAAACTCTTCCCTCAAAATATAGACTGAGAAAGGGTGATATGGTGTCCATTGTTTTTTGACTCTGGGAGCTCAAGGAGAGGGAGGGTATATTCACAGGAGGCCCAGAGCCTGTCTAAGGGACTAACCTTTGAGTTAGGAAGTCTTTGCTAAGCTTTTGTCCAGGGTAATTAATGCCAATCTCTCTTTAAAAAGAGCAGAGGATCATTAGGTCTTTGCGATCTGAGATCATTAGAAGTCAGCACACTTGTCTTGGTACACACTTCCACACTATGTAAGGCCTCATGCCTGCCATTTCACTCACTGCCTGCTCTTGGCTTGGGTAGTATCAGTGTCGGTCTTCACCTGCACAAGGTCAGTTTGACCTTACACAGCAGGGTAAGAGAAGAGTGAGGGGCATGGAGATGCAACACAGGGCTGCAGAGAGGTTTCATTGTTCAGGAAGAGGGCAGAAGACCTGGTCTCTCCAATGTGAATCTCTCCTTGACATTTTCTCCCTGTCCATCCCACAGAACCATCTAGAAGCTGAAAGGTAAAATACAGGTTCTTGGGTCAAACAGCCAGATTTCCTCAACACCAAAAGAGACCTAGTAACATGCATGGTAAACATTGCAGCCACTGAATCCGCTCCTGATGCCCACTGGAGCTAAGGGAGGAGCGAGAGACCAGATGAAGGCATCGATTTCCTATTTGCACAACCAAAGGAAGACAAGTAAGTGCCTACAAGAAAGAATATTAAACCTTCTCTTTGCAGGCCCAAGCTCCTTCCTTTAGAGTTATTAGAACAGTCTAGATTAGCGCACTGCTATGTAAAAGACATCCAATCTGGGAAGTATGTGAGTCTCTGTAGTTGAGTGGGTATGTGAGACATAGGAGGTGTGTGTGTGTGTGTGTGTGTGTGTGTGTGTGTGTGTGTGTGTGTGTGTGTGTGTGTGTGGTTTGCAGATAAGTGGCCCAGGATTTATATACTTAACATTACCTTATGATTCAACTTGTAAACCTCAGCCCTCTTCTCCATATAAACAAGATAATCTACCTAACAGGAGGGAGAAGGTTGAAGCATGTTCATCTAAGCCTCAGAACATAAAGTTTAAACCACCAGGAGTAACTACATCTTGTGAGTGCTTCATCTGTGCTTTCTTTTGATATTAGTCTTCAGATTTCATTGATCTCTTTTGTGCCTGTAAATTTCCTTCTAGGTTTTTGTCATCACTATCCAGGAGGGTATAGTCAAAGGTTTTGAAAACTGAACAACATAGGGAGGGGGTGGAAAAATGAGTTCACTTTCTTCCACAACTGTGGTCAGCAGCTCCCTCCTTGAGAGATGGGGCCAAGAGAATATCCCATCCTTGAATCAGAGGTATCTGAAGGATTCCTAATTTAGGCAAGATTGTCAATGTCTACCTAGGTATCTTGGAAGCAACTGGACATTAGTCTTTTATCAATCAAACTTGTTTTTCAGTTCTCACAATATTCAGTTCCTACAATCCAACTCCTCTCCATCTCCATCATGCTGCATTGGGAATGTGGTCACCATCCTTTTTCATGCATCATCTCTTCTTCCTGGGTACCAGCATCTGGCCCAGCCCATGCTCCTGTTAGAACACCCTCACACTCTCACTACAGTGGGAAACTTTCTAGAACATAAATCAGTTTCCAAAACCATGCAGTAGCTCCTCCTTGCCCTCAGTGTGACACGAGAGCTATTTTACAGATATGATTTTCTTATTCTTAAGACGTGATGATTCCTCACCTCACTCCTGTGTTGTGTC